ACTCTCTCTCTCTCTCTCTCTCCCTCTCTCTCTCTCTCTCTCTCTTTCTCTCTCTCTTCCCCTTTCTTTCCCCTCTCTCTCTTCTGTTCTCTCTCTCTTCTCTTCTCACTCTCTCTCTCTTTCTCTTCTCTTTTCCTTCTCTCTCTCTCTCTCTCTCTCTCTCTCTCTCTCTCTCTCTCTCTCTCTCTCACTCTCTCTCTAGGTCATTAGAACCAGAAAACCTTCCTCTATAACACACTGATAATCGGCATGATTCGGAAAGAAAGAAATTTGTTGAAAATACCGTTTAATGGTATATTATCGAAATTGTCAAATATCGATACCCGATTATTTAAGAATCGCACGTCATATCTCACACTGCAAACATTTTAAACCACTGTACGGCGCTCTGTTCCTTAAAACTTATGTTTGTTAACCTAAATATGGGAATTTGAGTTCTAAGCCTAAAGATTTTTAACGGAGAGCTAAAAAATTTGAGTAGTAATGTACATTGAGTAATCGATACTAGTAGCCACGTGGACAAGCTGTTTACAAATGAGAGATGAGAGAAAGTGGTGGTGGGGAAGCAGTAAGAAGAAGAAGAAGGAGAAGAAAAAGGAGAAGAAGAAAAAGAAGAAAAAGGAGAAGAAGAAGAAGAAGAAAAAGGAGAAGAAGAAGAAGAAGAAGAGGAAGAAGAAGAAAAGCCAGCCTTAACCATTATTACACTACAGACCGAAGTACAGACAAACATGTTGGTGCACGAACAAGAACACAGAAAATGCGCTCATAGATAAAGACGCACTGTGTGAAGACGCACTGTGTGCATATTTTATTTTAGTCGCCAAACCCTTCGTGAAAGAGAAAGACAATCGTTTGAAAGTGAGAGGCACATTAAACACCCCCCCCCATACACATTCTCTCTCTCTCTCTCTTTCTTGGTCTCTCTCTTTCCCTCTTTCTCTCACTCTCTCTCTGTCTCTCTCTCACTCTCTCTCTCTCACTCTTTTTCTCACTCTCTCTCTCTGCCTCTCTCCCTCTCTCTCTCTCTCTTTCCCTAGCCATCTATATCTCTCTCTTTTTCCCTCTCTCATTTCTTCTCTCTCACTCTTTCTCTTTCTCTCTCTCTCTCTCTCTCTCTCTCTCTCTCTCTCTCTCTCTCTCTCTCTTGCTCTCTCTCTCCCTATCCATCTACCTCTCTCTTTTTTCTTTTTCCCTCTCTCCTTTTTTCTCTCTCACTCTTTCTCTCTTCTCTTTCTCTCTCTCTATCTCTCGCTCTCTCTCTCTTTCGCTCTTCCTCTCTCGCTCGCTCTCTCCATCTCTTTGTCTTCTTCCCTCTCTCTACTTCCCTCTCTCTATCTCTCTTTCTCTCTCTCTCTCTGTTTGTCCCTCTCTCTCTCTTTTGTTCCCACTCCCCCACCCCTCTCTGTCTGTCTGTCTGTCTGTCTGTCTGTCTGTCTGTCTGTCTGTCTGTCTGTCTCTCTTTCTCTCTCTCTCTCTGTTTGTCCCTCTCTCGCTCTCTCTCTTTTGTTCCCACTCCCCCACCCCTCTCTCTCTCTGTCTGTCTGTCTGTCTGTCTGTCTTTCTGTCTCTCTCTCTCTTTCTCTCTCTCTTTCTCTCTCTCTTTCTCTCTCTCTCTCTCTCTCTCTCTCTCTTTCTCTCTCTCTCTGTATATTATAATTTAACTCGCTTGGTCACTTGCGTTCAGTCACGGCTTCCATCGCCTTTCTTAGGTTGATTGCACACCACCCCTCGTTTGTGCTCAGAAATAGGAAAAATAATAAAAGCGGAAGCGGAAGTTTTCCTTGACTTCCGCCGTGCCGTGTCTCTCATTCGATAGCGAAACCAGATACAGTTGCGAACGTGTCTGTGCCTTGTTGATCTGGATTCAGAACCTAAGGTAATGATCAGAATACTGTGGTAGTTTTCTTTGTAGCTAAAAGCTGCGCAGTGTAGGCTTGTGTAGATCTAGATGTTGTATCGTGTAGAACCAAACACAGACTGTAGATCTAGGCCTAGGCTTGCCTCTCCTTCTTAGCTCTTAGTCCCTAATACTCCGACCTAACTTATTATAACTAACTAATGACCACTGGCACTGCATGCAGTGTTCAGGGGTAGGACTGGCCTTTGTAGACTTGTAGAGCTAAATCTAGGGTTGTTTAGTGTTCGATGGGAATAGCACACGGTGAGCCTAACCCTAATTTACTAATTATACTAATACTAGAAGATCTAGAATCTAGATCTAGATTCTAATGCTAATAATAAAACTAATAAGCTTCCTATTGCTAGAATCTTGTACCAAGTATTGGCATTCACTAATTAATGACTAGATCAAGATCTAATGGCAATGCTAGATCCTTCTGAGCTGGGCACTTTGTAGAGCTAGATTAAGATCTAGATCTAGATCTAGGGTTGTTTAGAAAAGATTGGAAATATCACTCGGTGAGCCAAACGCTTAGTCAACCAAGTGAGTTTCCTATTATTATATTATTACTAACTAATGGCAATGCTTAATGCTAGGACTTGGCTTTGTACAGCTAGATCTAGGGTTGTTTAGTGGTTGATTGGAAATGTCACACGGTGAGCCGAACGGTTTTAACTAATTAAAATTTGGGGGCTCGGGTGGCTAAGTGAGTAGGCCCAGATCTAGATCTAGATCTAGTGAGTTTAGACTCAACAGTAATGTTAAGCAAATGTCGGTGTTTGACACCGTTAACCAAACTGCCCCTCTGGGATCCATAAAATTGCAATTTATAAATTTATCTCTTTAATGGTTCACTTTGAAGTCTGTATTCCATGAGTAAGAAACGCGAGTGATTCTTGAATTAAAAAGTGGAGGCCTCGAACCGTCATTTCATTTTGGGAAATTTTCTGCAGCTCGTCCGACACAAAGCATAGGCCTAGATTTTTTGGCGAATAACTTTCGATCCCATTTACTTTTAGCCTCGGTCTCTAAACGTCATTCTTCGAGAGGAGTGGTCCCGGCTTAACTCCTAAGAAATAACACTCAGAGTTTGAAGTCGGAAACAAAATGGAGGTCGAGAAAAAGCTGTCTTCAGTACTTTTTTGGGGGGTTCGATTTTCGAATATTTTCTACCTTATTTTTTTTTCTTCATCGGGTGGCATTTTCATCCTGGCAACTCAAGCCAGCTTTTTTAATCGGCCTCCGTTTGTGTTTCCGATTGCAAGTGTTATTTCTATGGTATTAGGCCGGGACCACTAATTCTCCCGAAGAGTGCCCTCTAAACGCATGACAACCCCGTTTTGTCTTTTCGAGCAATAGTTTTTCCAACGTTACAGATTGGTGTGGAAGGGCACTTTTCTTGGGAGGCCGGAATAAAATATTGCTCGATATGAGTCAGGCGGAACTATTTTCTTACGGATATTGATGTAAATGGGACAAACTGATACAAGACCGGGAACGGTACCTCGATAACAATCGGTTCCATCTGTCCCAAGTCATCCGTTAAAAAAGCGTGTCTTTTCATTGGACGAGCTACAGCACGGGCCAAAATAGTTTTTGGTGCGGACGGACATCCCCGCACGGAACCTCAATTTGTAAACCGACTGCGTCACTGTCGTTCTATAGGTATTAATTTTAAATAACGTTTTCAAGCCCTCTGACCTCGTAACCGTAACAATTTTGGTCACGTCCGTTTTTCCCCTTCTCTTTCCCCAGATCTCGGAATCTTCGCGGACGCATTATCATGTCTGGAGAGGAACAGCCCCAGCCGTTTGCCAGCGACGAGGAGATGGTGAGTTGTCACGCATCCACAAACCCACACACACAAACACACACACACACACACACACACACACACTCACACACACACACACACACACACACACACACACACACACACACACACACACCAACCCAGACACACCAACCCAGACACACCAACCCAGTACACCAACCCAGACACACAACCACACCCACACAAACACTAAACATTAAAACAACTTTTTAGAAATATGATGATATAACATTTCCTGGTGAGAATTTTGACTGAGCTGTTTTTTGACACGGTATACTGATGTAAATGGGACAAATTGATAAAAGACCAAATGCGGTAGCTCGCTAGAAATCGGTGTCGTCAGTTAAAAGTCATCTTTAAAAAAGCCGTCCCTTTGTCGGACTAGCTGTAGCATGTTCAAAAATATTTTTGATGCGGACCGACACTTTCGCTGGGTGGCTCATTTTTAAAACAACCGTGTCATTGTGTCATTCTCGCTCTGTGGGTATTTCTAAATAGTGTTTCCGAGCCCTCTGACTTCGTAACCGGAACAATTTGGGTCAGGTCCGTTTTTCCCTTTCTCTTTCCCCAGAACTCGGAGTCTTCGCGGGCACCAGACGGAGCCAGGCATATCTTGCCCATAATCATAGAGGAGCCAGAGCCTATTTCTAGTGACGAGGAGATGGTGAGTTTTGAGGGGGATTCCGGGGACGGGGAGGAGGATAGTGGGGATTTTGAGGAGGATAGTGGGGATTTTGAGGAGGATGAGAAATTTTTTTCTAGCGACGATAGTGATTTTGGGGAGCGGGCTGAGGACGAGGTAGACTTGGACCAAATTTACAGAGTGTTGTTGGTGGATACGGACGACGAGGTGGAAGATGACAGCGGGTTGTTTGAGAGTTAATTATAGAACTCTTTACCGACAGGAGAAACAACGGAGCAGGTAGGTGGGGGAGTGGGGTGGTGAAGTCTGTTTGTTTTAGTTGATTGAGTTTATAATAATATGTGTGTAAAATTGATATTATTATTATTATCATTACTAGTATTTTTTTTTTTTTTATTTATGTGTAAAAAAATCTTTTTAGGAGGCGAGTTTGACATCTCAGTAAAATTCTTAGTTTTTAAAAATTGTTTTTAAATTCTTTTAAAAATATATTATTTATATAATTTTTTATTTTTTTTGTTTGACATGTCTGTAAAATATATGATGATTATTATTATTGTTGCTGTTGTTGTTATTTTTATAACCTACTTTTTATAATTTTTAGTTTAAGGAATGAATGATAAATTTTTTAATGCTTTGGCATGTCTGTAAAATTATCATTTTTTACAATAATAAGTTTTATTTCAGAAGACATTTTTCTAAATTTCCTTTTTTTTTCCCCTCTGTGCATTGTTTTTTCTCTCTTCCCGAAGAGTTTCCTCGACGTGGCCCTGAGCCTGGCTTCTAAGGGAACGACAAAGTATTCCAATATGGGAAATGAGACTAGTTGATGCATGTGTGTGTAGTTTGTGTCTTTGTTCTTATTTAGCTTGATAAGACGCCTCAGTTGATGCTTTTGACGTTAAAGAGCGGGCCAGTCTCCGTAGGATTTAATAGTCCCTTCAGCTTCCTGCTTCCGTATCTGTGGCCAGTCCAGTTTGTCCGTGTGTCTCATGCGTGGTCTGTTCCTAGCTTGAGACTGAGGCAGCAGTACCTTTGTGAGTGTGAGGGGGTTGGGGGTAAGGTGTGAAGTAAAAAAGTTGATGAAGTTTGAAGAGAAGCGAGGGGGAGGGGGGTGTAGATCATTTTTTCGCTAAGCTGCACTTTTGAGTAATCACTGTATTTTAAAGAATCCGTTTTGATGCAAGTGTAAAAGTTAACAGCTTTTTGGGGGCATGAGCTGTTTCCATCTTTCAACCAGTTTGGGGAACTCTTTCTGAGGGGTTAGGGGTTAGTGGGGAACTGACCCCTGACTCCTCATTACGTAAGATGTCAGTTTCGGCTGTCGTGGGGGGGGGGGGGGAATGTTTTTGGGGGGAAGTGCAGGGAGTGATAAAATTATGTGGGGTGACAGGTGTCCGTGGGGAACTGGAACTGGCCCACGTAATAGCAAGTTCTTTAACGGCGTCAGCAGGTATCGGGTACGGGACCAAATTGTAGGGAACGTTTTTGTTTTTGTTATCGCTTATTTGTTTTGTCTTCCACAGCTCACAGACCCACTCCCCCCCTTACCGTGGCGCAAGGGTGTAACGCTCTGTTCTCACCGTGGCGCAAGGGTGTAACGCTCTGTTCAAACCAGAAAAACGATGGTTCGGGCAACGGCCCACTTTCTGCCCACTTTCTGGTTGGAACCGAGCGGCCAACACGGTACTACGCACTGCTTTGGCAATGTGTTGTAAACTATGAGAAACCGGCAGTATGGAAATAAAAGTTCAAATCGGTAGCAAAATGTGTTTGTTCTCTTTGTTTTCAAATCAGTCCTCCCGTTTGTTTTAAAATCAGTCCTCCCGTTTGTCATGTACTCTATGTTTTCAATTCAGTCTTTCCTGTCTGTCTTGTTTTTTTATGTTTTCCAATCAGTCTTCCCTGTCTGTTAAATCACTACAATCAGTTTGGATAATTAGCCGGGCCTGGGCGGTTACGGTGCACCTGTTGTGTAAATACAGACCATGGACACTTGGACAAGATTTACATAATGTGCTGTTTTGCCTGTGACGGTGTTCCAGCTGACAGGCGGTCGTAGGCCCCCTACTCGATGAACAAAAAATACCCCTACCCACACAGGAATCGAACTCTGTCTTTTGCAAGCCACGGTAGGATGAAACAAAAAGTTTTGAAAAAGATGGGGGCATAACATTTCCGGACGAGAGTTGGGCCACAGCTGTTTTCTCTCTCTCTCTCAATATCTCTCTCTCTCTCTCTCTCTCTCTCTCTCTCTCTCTCTCTTATTCTTATTCTCTCTCTCTTCTCACATAAACACACACACACACACACACACACACACACACAGTTTTCAGTCTCCCTCGACATAGAAAAAGAAATCAGCTTCTTTTGGTGAAACCAGGGAATAGAATATTTTCTTATGATAGTCGGACTGGAGACTTATAGGTACACTGGTGTGACAAATTCTAGATAAAAGACAAAGGGCTCTCTCTCTCTCTCTCTCTCTCTCTCTCTCTCTCTCTCTCTCTCTCTCTCTCTCTCTCTCTCTCTCTCTCTCAGTATATATTGTAAATCTATGTCTTTTTTGCTAAATCGAAACTGGATTTTTCTGGGGAACGTGTTGTAGATCTGGCCCTTGATCTTCATTCAGAACATAAGGTAATGATTAGATAGCTTTGACATTTTATCATAGGTGAATTCTGGTCAGTTTAATATAGCTCTAGATCTAGATATTGTATCGTATAGAACCTAACAAGACTCACCGAGTCTCCTAAAGGAGAGAGACTAGATCTGGATCTAGATATTTAGACTTAGGCCTAGGCCTAAACTTGCCTCTCCTTCTAGTTCTTAGTCTAGATCTAGATCTAGAAAGGCATTCCCTAATTTTTTATAACTTACTAATGACTAACTAGAACGGCTGTGTTAGCTGGACACTGCATGCAGTGTACAGGGATAGGACTGGCCTTTGTAGATCTAGTTCTAGGGTGGTTTAGTATTTGATTGGAACAGCACATTTTGAGCCTAACCCTAATACTAATACTGATTTAGTGTAACAAGTAAGCTTCCTATTACCGAGTAATGGTATTCACTAGCTAGTAGTGCTAGATCTAGATCTAGGCGAATAATCCATATGTACCTGTGCATTTCACTATGGGGGTAAAATAATTGCAACAAAGATGATTTTGGTGTCGTTACAACCAGTAGACCTTCCTCTATAACATACTGAAAGTCAGCATGCATCTTAAAGAAAGAAATTTGTTAAAAATGACGTTTAATTGTATAGTATCGAAATCGTCAAATATCGATACCCAACTATTTCAGAATCGTACGTCATATCTCACAATACAAAAATCTTACACCACTGCACGGGGCTCTGTCCTCTAAAACTCAGGTTTCTTATCCTAAATTGGGGACTTTGAATTCTAAACTCTCAAAATTATAACGGGGAGCTAAAAAAGTTAGAGTATTAATGTACATTGAGTAATCGATACTAGTAGCCACGTGGACAAGCTTTTTACAAATGAGAGATGAGAAAAAGTGAGGGTCGTTGTGAAGAAGAAGAAGAAGAAGAAGAAGAAGAAGAAGAAGAAGAAGAAGAAGAAGAAGAAGAAGAAGAAGAAGAAGAGAGTAGATCTACAAACAGACAAACATGTTGGTGCACGAAAAAGAACATAGAAAAAGACGAGGTGTAAAAATCGGCGCTTCACGGTGTGTCCCGGAGGTCTGCGCTCATAGATAAAGGCGCACTGTGTGCGTATTTTGTTTCAGTCGCCAACATCGCTTGAAAGTGAAATACACATTAAGTCTCCCCACCCCCTACCCCCCCCCCTCACCCCCCCCCCTCCCCAGCTCTATCTCTTTCTCTGTCTATCTCTCTGTCTATCTCTCTCTCTCGCTCTCTCTCTCTCTGTCTGTCTTTCTCTCTCTTTTTTTCCCCTCTCTCATTTCGTTTCTCTCAGTCTTTCTCTCTCACTCTCTTCTCTCTCTCTTTCTCTCGCTCATTTCTCTTCTCATCCTCTCTTTCTCTCTCACTCCCTCTCTGTCTTTCTCTTCTTCCCTCTCTCTATTTCTTGGTCCCTCTCTCTATGTCTCTCTCTCTCTTTTCCCATCTCTTATTTCTTCTCTCTCAGTCTTTTTCTCTCTCTCTCCCTCTCTCTCTCTCTCTCTCTCTCTGTCTCTCTCTCTCTCTCTCTCTCTCTCTCTCTCTCTCTCTCTCTCTCTCTCTCTCTCTCTCTCTCTCTCTGTATATTATAATTTAACTCGCTTGGTCACTTGCGTTCAGTCACGGCTTCCATCGCCTTTCTTAGGTTGATTGCACACCACCCCTCGTTTGTGCTCAGAAATAGGAAAAATAATAAAAGCGGAAGCGGAAGTTTTCCTTGACTTCCGCCGTGCCGTGTCTCTCATTCGATAGCGAAACCAGATACAGTTGCGAACGTGTCTGTGCCTTGTTGATCTGGATTCAGAACCTAAGGTAATGATCAGAATGCTGTGGTAGTTTTCTTTGTAGCTAAAAGCTGCGCAGTGTAGGCTTGTGTAGATCTAGATGTTGTATCGTGTAGAACCAAACACAGACTGTAGATCTAGGCCTAGGCTTGCCTCTCCTTCTTAGCTCTTAGTCCCTAATACTCCGACCTAACTTATTATAACTAACTAATGACCACTGGCACTGCATGCAGTGTTCAGGGGTAGGACTGGCCTTTGTAGAGCTAAATCTAGGGTTGTTTAGTGTTCGATGGGAATAGCACACGGTGAGCCTAACCCTAATTTACTAAATACTAGAAGATCTAGAATCTAGATCTAGATTCTAATTATTCTAATGCTAATAATAAAACTAATAAGCTTCCTATTGCTAGAATCTTGTACCAAGTATTGGCATTCACTAATTAATGACTAGATCAAGATCTAATGGCAATGCTAGATCCTTCTGAGCTGGGCACTTTGTAGAGCTAGATTAAGATCTAGATCTAGGGTTGTTTAGAAACGATTGGAAATATCACTCGGTGAGCCAAACGCTTAGTCAACCAAGTGAGTTTCCTATTATTATATTATTACTAACTAATGGCAATGCTTAATGCTAGGACTTGGCTTTGTACAGCTAGATCTAGGGTTGTTTAGTGGTTGATTGGAAATGTCACACGGTGAGCCGAACGGTTTTAACTAATTAAAAGTTGAGGGCTCGGGTGGCTAAGTGAGTAGGCCCAGATCTAGATCTAGTGAGTTTAGACTCAACAGTAATGTTAAGCAAATGTCGGTGTTTGACACCGTTAACCAAACTGCCCCTCTGGGATCAATAAAATTGCAATTTATAAATTTATCTCTTTAATGGTTCACTTTGAAGTCAGTATTCCATGAGTAAGAAACTCGAGTGATTCTTGAATTAAAAAGTGGAGGCCTCGAACCGTCATTTCAGTTTGGGAAATTTTCTGCAGCTCGTCCGACACAAAAGCATAGGCCTAGATTTTTTGGCGAATAGCTTTCGATCCCATTTACTTTTAGCCTCGGTTCTCTAAACGGCATTCTTCACGAGGAGTGGTCCCGGCTTAACTCCTAAGAAATAACACTCAGAGTTTGAAGTCGGAAACAAAAATGGAGGTCGAAAAAAGAGCTGTCTTCAGTACTTTTTTTGTGGGGTTAGATTTTCGAATATTTTCTACCTTATTTTTTTTTCTTCATCGGGTGGCATTTTCATCCTGGCAACTCAAGCCAGCTTTTTTAATCGGCCTCCGTTTGTGTTTCCGATTGCAAGTGTTATTTCTATGGTATTAGGCCGGGACCACTAATTCTCCCGAAGAGTGCCCTCTAAACGGGTGACAACCCCGTTTTGTCTTTTCGAGCAATACTTTTTCCAACGTTACAGATTGGTGTGGAAGGGCACTTTTCTTGGGAGGCCGGAATAAAATATTGCTCGATATGAGTCAGGCGGAACTATTTTCTTACGGATATTGATGTAAATGGGACAAACTGATACAAGACCGGGAACGGTACCTCGATAACAATCGGTTCCATCTGTCCCAAGTCATCCGTTAAAAAAGCGTGTCTTTTCATTGGACGAGCTACAGCACGGGCCAAAATAGTTTTTGGTGCGGACGGACATCCCCGCACGGAACCTCAATTTTTAAACCGACTGCGTCACTGTCGTTCTGTAGGTATTAATTTTAAATAACGTTTCCAAGCCCTCTGACCTCGTAACCGTAACAATTTTAGTCAGGTCCGTTTTTCCCCTTCTCTTTCCCCAGATCTCGGAATCTTCGCGGACGCATTATCATGTCTGGAGAAGAACAGCCCCAGCCGTTTGCCAGCGACGAGGAGATGGTGAGTTGTCACGCATCCACAAACACACACACACACGCACACACACACCCACACCCACACCCACACCCACACCCACACCCACACCCACCCTCCACCCACCCCACAAACACAATCACATACCCACCCCCCA